TTCTGAGGGGTTTTATTCGGTTTAAGCCTCCTGAAGCACATACAAGAGTTTCAATGTAATCTTTTGTTAATTTTGTGCCAAAGAAGTCTTCAAAATGAGAAGGCTCAACAGAGGATTGGCAAGTTGCAAAAGACAATTCCGTATGGTACACGAGGGTTTGGTTAAGTATACCACTGCCCAATGTCTAGGTCGTTAATTTCCACACGTCGAATTGGAGTGAAACATATGTGGCGGCGTCTTAAACGTGCGTTATAGACCGGCCAAGCACATATTTATTCCCATTCCTAAATACTATTTTATTCATAGAGTCAAAAAAGTCAACTTGTGATGGATTTCCAACGATTAGATTCTTGACCAATCAGACTCGATTAACCACTGTCTCATATCCACGTGCCCGGGTGTGATTTGCTCAGCAGGCACTTAGCGGGCATTATCGATTCCCGGTGGGCATTAGCCCATGTTAATACACAGTCACATGACGCATTTCAATTATAGGATCAGAAAAGCTGTCCAGGGTAGTTGTGAATACAGTTTCAATACCCTATTTACGTTACCTTACCTTCAAGAAAGTTATCAAAACATTTATCCTTGAGAAAGTAATACTTGGAAATTCCTTGCATTTGACCGAAAGGGCCATCATTTTGCGCTGGTAACATTAAGGCAAAAGCATGTTTGACAACTTGACGCTGGCAGTCGGTAAGGTTGAACCACAGAGAATCCTGTCTCAATGGTTGAACATTATCCAATTTATATAACGGGTTTTGCCCTAGCCCAACGTATATATCAATAAACACCGTATGCTCAGTGCTTGTCCGAAAATACATCTTGAAAATGGTTCGCGGTACCCACTGCTTCACCTGACTCGGACCGGCTAGCCGACCCCGGCAAGCTCGGTGGTCGAGTGGTTAAGACATCTGCACTAGTAAGCAGGAGGTCGTGGGTTCGAGTCCCACCCAAGTAGGCTTGTGACCTTTTCCGCAAATTCTCGGACAGGCACTGAGCATACAGTGTTTATTAATATATACGTTGGGTTGGGGCAAAACCCGTGATATAAATTATTATCTCCCCAACGCAAAAATGCATCTTGAAAATAATCATTCGTCTGTTATGATAATGGAGTCGAGTTTTGTGTCCCTGAAAGTCAAACACATGAACGCATCGTGTACCAAACGCACCAAAAAAGTGCATATGGACAGGCGCCGTAACAAGGCGTTTCCGCACATTTGCGTATTGCCGGAAAATGGTCGGCGATGCTGTCATCGTCTCTGCGTGGATATATAATTTAGGCCAAAATAACCTGGAGTTCGGTTTAATCGTCACCACTGGATATTTCGCAGGTGTATCCAGAGAGCGGACCGTTGGAAGGCAATACTGTCATCGAAATAACGGGAACCAACATCGGACGACACTTTCAAGAAATCCACAGCGTGATAATCGGTCAGAAGCCGTGTGATCTGACTGGTTTAGAGGACCATTATGTCGTTGGACAAAGGTATGATGATCACCGAAAGGTTTTAATTAGGCTAATCGTGTCAGTCAGGCTTTGTCATTTCCGAAACAAGCATCACCAATTGGTCATTTCAGGACATTCCCAGCTGACCAATAACGCGGCTTGCTTTCTGTATAACCGTATCCACTCATGGTTGTCGACAGGATCTTTACTTTGGGCAGACCACCTTTTTCCAGGAGGAAAATTTACAGAAGGAAGGGTGGCAAAACATTCATCAGCTAAAAAAGATGAACAATTAAATGATAAGTGGGGTCATTTTGAGTTTCTGTTTAAAGCAAACTGGTGAAATTCATCTCTTGTCATCTTCTTGTTTTCATTACTTTCGATTCCCCCTTTCTCCTTTTTTTTCAGGGTTTTTTTGGGGGGGGAAGCACCCTTTTACCACCACCTTTCGTGACGCTCGTGCATCCCCTCTTTTTTCAAATCCCAGATACTGTAATATTTGATACTGTTTCCTTAGTATCATCGTGACACAGCTGAAGTAGACCGAACAAAAACACTTGTCTGGTACCTTGCATGTGGTTCTTGGCCTATTCCCATCTCTGTACAACTCAGTTTTGTTTCTCTGACTTTTTTAAATGTTGACAATGCAAACTAGCCACTGGGTTAACCGCTGAATATCGAATATTATGTTGGCTTTGCAATCTACAATCTTCTCACGTGATGTTGGGTGTCTGAATGTCAGCTTTGATATCGAATCCCTGCCGTTACTAGTTCCTGACACGTTTCAGTAAATCCAGGACACACTTACGAATTATAACCAGTGTCCTTCTACAACAGTGTCCGATGCAGAACCCCTGATGGCAACCTTGGCGATGCTCAGCCTATCACAGTCTACATAGTTGCTGTAGATTCTTCAGTTGAAAATCCCCGAGCTGTGCGTTTCAAATACGTGGTATGTCCGAACATTTTAAATTGAGGAATTTCTATCTGAATTTTTCAAATAACGTTTGTCCTTGTTGCAAGCCGCACTGAAAATATGGCGCTAGGTTTAATTGTTTCACGTGATGTAAAGGAAAAGAAGTTTGAACAGTGTACTGTTTCATATTTCTCTTCTGCGTTGCAAATTTTAAAAATCTGGCTCTGGATTAATTGTATTTGCAAGCACTTTGGATAAATACCATTCAAATCATTCATCCTTATTCACAGAACCCTACGATCACTGGCTTCAGTCCCACTCTGGGCCCTGCAGCCGGTGGCACAGTGGTTAGGATCGTGGGAACGAGCCTGAACACAGGAAGAGACATAGCCGTAGTGGTAGGGGGTGTTAAGTGCGACATCGACACTGAGAGGTGAGGCAATACCAGACATCACACAAAATAGTTTGTTTATGGTATCTCCGGTCATATGAGAGTGCCATCTGACCAATTAAAAATCCATATTTCATCTTATGTTGACATGTTTACATCAAGATTTCGAAAACCTGAAATAGTCTAAGCGTGAAATTTATAGAAACATAAAATTTAAAAAGAGGTTTTTCTTTGCAACGTACATAGCTTAGCGTGCAGAACAAAATCTGCCAATTTCTATGCGCAAGTGAGGCTGAACATTGAAGTGTAACAAAAGACTGATTTCAAGCTGGTTCAAGTTTTATGAACATTGGAAATTGCAAACTACAAGCAAAGTTTCTAACAAAGTACTTTGTCAAGAGTCGTTGGTAATCAACCTGTACATTTGTTGCTCATTAGTATCAACGAGACATCCGTGGAATGTCGCACTGGGAACTCTTCTGTAGGCGCTGCAGGCAAAATCTCATTGTCCATTGATGGTGCTGTCAGAAACTCAGCGGACATGTTCACGTACAAAGCCAATCCGACTGTGGAGAATGTGCATCCCAGACGGAGCTTCAAATCGTAGGTTTCATTTCAAAATGGTTCAAATCAACAAATCAACGAACCAACTGATCAGGGGTTAATTTCGTGGAACTGCTTAAGCACAATATTTTGCTTAAGCGTGAAAAAACCTTGCTTGACAAATTACGTTACCAGCCAAAACTCCGTGTGATTTTGAATGGTATTCACCTGTCTTTTGGTTAGCATGACAATCACATAGAGTGAGCTGGTAACCTTTGGCTTTTAAGAAGCCCTATGAAATTTGCCCCAGGTGTATCCTGGCTGGGACACTGACCTGGTTAAAACACCTGGATATGGCCTACTAACAGCAGGATGTGATAACTGTGAATCCAATTTTAGTACAACTTTTTAAACGATTTCAATATGAAAAGTAATATACAGTCCTAATAAAAATAAATGAAATCATTTTGCGCACTTAATATAATGCAGTCTTTCGGCACGGTGTCAAGTAGTGTTTGCACTCTCTGTTGGGTTAACTTTTTGGTGCAGGTGATTGGTTCCTTGAAATGTTAGCTTTTGTAAAAATGATTGATTTCGGCGTTTTTTGTCCTTCAAAGGGGAGGAAGGAGACTAAACGTCACTGGAACTGGTCTCAGTGTTGTTGGTAAGGCAACGATCCTTGTGCGCCGCAAGAACTTCACAAACGAGGAGGTAAGTTCATTTGATTGGCCTGTCTTGGGTATTAATCCTTGGTCTTGATCTTGAACTGGAGTTTGGGCTGTGGTGTCTAGGTTGCGTGGTCCATTTGATCTTTGGGTTTCTTTGTCTTTCAATTGACCGGTAGTCTGTTTTACTGCCTGCTCTGACGAGTCAGTTTGCGCGTCAGCATACCAGTTCAGTCCCGTTTTTACAATTTCGAACAATTTGCATAGAAAAGGTAAGTTCACAAAATACAGTACAGTTTTACATGTGAAGATTCAAGACACCTATATAGGGTATTTTGACTCTTGAGACTTGAGAGCTTTTGGATTATCTACTTGAGTTCTAGGGCCAAGGTCTTCTCTTCTGTCACATGCAGCCCCTCCTTTGCAGAGCATAACTCACACAAAGTGCAATCTTTGTGACAACTGCAGGACTGCATGATTATGAGTAATGAATACATGATGTGTGTATCGCCCGCTATCGGCCTGAGCGAGCACCTGGCATCGACATGTACGTCAGAAGTCATCCTCGGTTTCTGGCTGGACGGAGTTCAGCTGACTTCATGGTCCACGTCGCTGGGTGGTCGTACCTTCACGTATTGCCCAGATCCAGTCTTTGAGAAGTTTCCCGGCGAAGAGTTTGTCGTTGAGGGTAACACTCGCGATTCTCAGTTAACAATCAAGGTAGGAACCGAAAATGAAACGCCATTAAGTCTGACCAATTTCAACATTGCGGAAATGTCTAGTTTGCTTGTTACAGCTGTTTAACCTTCTTTCTGCCGAAAGCTCTTTTTGAAGGTAGTGAAAATTTCTTCTGTATTGCACGAAAGAGGACATGGGTCTAAATAAACCATGTTTGTGCATGGCAGTGTGTGATAAACTATTAATTTGATGTACTTAGATTTTGAATTTAATGCACAGGGACATATAGATATATCTGCAATCAATCGGTCGGAAATCACAGTTACAGTTGGTAGTGAACCTTGTCCCATCGAAGTACTGGAGTCGTCAATAATAACATGCCACCTTCCTGACGAAGAACCCGATGGCTTGGATGCCAACGGCCAGCCGGACCCAACTGCAATACCTTCAGCTGTTGTAAGCTCAATTTTCTCTCGTAAGCTAGCCTAGATGATAATATCCGTCCAAATCTAAAAGGTTTACAATCAGTTAGAGGTTTTCTCCAAACCTCCTGTAGGCAGCATTTTTTGTACCTATGAAATCGTGTCCTCTTACCGTATTGAGGATATCTCTTTCTTTCTTTCAGTGAGTTTGATGTCACTATTAAAGTAAATTTTCTTTCGGTTTCAGGTTCACTGGTATGGAAATCAAAAATTCACCCCAGGGAGGGTCGTGTACCCCGCTTACTCGACACCAATTATAGTTGGAGTTTTTGTGACAGCTTTGGTTGCAGCCACAATCCTTGTAGTGGTGATGATTCGTAGGTACATCAAGCAGAAGCGACTGCTTCGGAGTCTAAACAATCGTCTTCTGAACCGCATAAGGGAGCTACAAGAAGGTACAGAACGGAATCACTGAGTCAAACTTTGTGCAGAGCGATTCTGACATAAAATGTTCTTGGACAGATTGTTCCTGCTAGTAGTTGTGATGATTGTCATGTAAAAAAGTACGGTACATCAAAGCTTCATATCAAGACTTAAGTTTTGATCCCCACCCATTTGTGTGTTGAAAGGATACGTGTACGTTCATTCATATGATTGTCCTCCCCCGTTAATTGGGGTGGCTGCAAACCGGAGTTTTGAAAACAAAATTCCTGTTCAAAATTTGTAGGTGACCAAAGCAGTGAAACTTGGACTCCATCAGGCCAGATGTCCTTTACGGGCTCCAAGTCTCTCGCCTCGGTTCTTGCCTTTTAGTTTCATTGCATTACATCACAGGTTTGCAGAGCGAACGGTATTTTCCTTTAGTAAGAACCCTTCTTCGACCGGTTCTCTTTTAAAGAGATCCTCGAGGCCGCAAGTAAGCTGGTGCCAGGTCCTAGCGAGAATGCGTACAGAGGATCACGACACAAGTCAACGCCGAAGAGGAAGACAGTTGCCCTGAATAACAAAATCAACATCATGCCCAATGATCTGCAGATTGGATTCAATCTGCTTGATATGACACGAGTGCTTGGGCAAGGTGGGTATTTCATTTCGATATACTTCTCAAACGCGAAACATGACTCTTTTGTCAACAGGACGAGGTACTTAGACTCACTGTCAATTTGGCTACATTCATTCACCGGGTTCACACCGGATCCCGTAAGGGGGATCCAAGTGGAACCTGATCCAGAAGGAAGAGCGAAGTTATAATAGAGGTATGTGTCAAGGGGTTGGAAGATCGGGGTCTAATCTACGTCTGGTCCTTTTCTCTCGATCTCCAAGTCCCCCCTTTCGTGAGGTAACAGATCCGCGTGCAGGCTGAAATACGAGATGCTTATGCGATACCTCCTGAAGGGAACGGACGCATCGATTTCCCTGCAAAAACTGTGGTATTAAAATCAACACTTTTTAGTTTTATCAGATGGCCTCTTGTTACTTTAACACCACTGGTGTTACTTTGCACACCCATGAGTGTTACAGTGCATTGCAGGGTGTTAAAAGTAACACCAAATAATACCAAAATGTTGACGCCTATGAAAAGTGTTGGTATAGTCCTCTGATAACACCAAGGTTGTAACTGCAGTGTTCGTCCAACCACATCTGGCATGCACAGTTGAGTGTGGAAGTCTGCCAAAATTTCTGAAGGAGGGGCACATTAAATAATTATTCTTACTTTGTAAACTTTGCTGCTTTCCACCCATTGTCACGCCCAGTAGAATTGCGTGGCTGGTACTTTATCCACGCCTAATGTTCAACTCGTGAAGGATTGCAGGACATTGAAGCACCGAGGAAGTCCATGTATAATATTCAAAGCTTAATCTTGATGAACCTACTCGCCCAAACTTTGCAGGTGCCTTTGGTAGAGTTTACCACGCAATTCTTCGGGATTTTCCAGTTGGAACTCAGCAGGATGTGGCAGTGAAAACGATACAGGGTAAGGTAATGGGGCGGGGTGTAATAGAGCGTTTACAGGTGGGAGTGAGAAGTGCCGCCAGGTTTGTCTTGTTCCCTGTAGAACCATCCGCAATATTTATACAGCTTAATATATTGATAAAAGGGAATAATTCCCCTTCTAGCTTATTCAGTTTATTTACATTGGTTGGAACGGTAGAAAATCAAGATGGCTGCCCCCTGATAAATGTCTATGACGTCGGTGGACAGCCAGATCGCTCGCGCACAAGATCTTCTTGGTATCATGGTTGCCATCACATGGGATTTTATCACGACGATGATATAAGTGATGCTTGTCTGCAATTGGCAGTTACACTCGTATAAAGGTAATATTTTTAAAGTCCCTAGCCACGGGAAACGTCCTTATATCCTAGACTGCCGGAAGATGGAAGCCTAAGTGCATGGGGTTTCATCATTCCAATTGTGATGGAGTCAGAATATGTTACCTTGGTAATGTTAGTAATCAACTGAAATTATTTATTCACTGAAATTCAGGGAAAAGACACCCATTCGTGCGTGTAATGACGACCCTGGGTTGGCAGCATGGAGCAGGGGCCAGTGGACCTGCTTTGTTCCCTAATTTTGGCTGGTCCTATTAATGGAACGGGGCTGAATGGAATTGTCAATTACTGGCTGATGCCTGATGGTGTCCAACTGTCCCCTACTTTAAAAATCGTTCCGCTGCCACTGGATGTACACAAAAAATGACGTGACATTGTTTAACCTTTATTCCGATTACCCTTGAAATGAACTGTATACGTTCTCTCAAACACCGATTTTTGGAACCAAAGCGAAGGTTAGACATACACGTTGATCTTGTGTTCATGAGATCTCTTCAGTGTTGCTTTGACATTTCATCAATCGTTTTTACTGTCAAACACACGAGAGACTATTAAGTATCCACCGAAGCGCCCAGCAATCGTGGGATTCTAACGAGCAGCAGTAGTTTGCCATTTGAATACAATTTTCAAAAATTAGGCCCTGAACTGCTTATTTCACAGACACCAGCGACTCCCGAAACATAATCAAGTTCATGGAGGAAGGCTTGCTGATGAAAAACTTTGATCACCCCAACGTCCTGCCGCTGCTTGGCTTGACCTTTAACCCAGAAGGTCATCCAGTCATCGTGCTGCCTTTAATGTCTAATGGTGATCTTCTGTCTTTTGTCAAACATCAAGGAAAGGTACTAACCAGTGACCAGAAGATCACTTATTAAATACTTCTTGGGGCAATAAAAAGGGGCCCAAAAATACAGGAGGAAGTACATATTATCAAACACGGCACGTAGAAAGATCGATTCCTAATAACCGTCATTTTCAATGATAATGAATATCGATATTTTTCATAAAGAATGGGAACGTGTACCAGTCTTCTTGAAAGTGAGATCCCGTACAGACATACATTCTATGAACAGAAGCAATGAGCATGATTGCAAAACAATATTAGTGTAGTTGTGAATGTAACTCTTCTCTAATTTTTCACGTTTGGGCTCTTTGAAGGCACTGACGGTTCTGCAGTTGCTGGGTTCCGTTCTTCATGTTGCTCGGGGAATGGAATACCTCGCCAGCCAGCATTTTGTCCACAGAGACTTGGCCGCAAGGAACTGCATGTAAGAAGGCAGATTAAAGTTCACTATGCCCAGCCGTTCAAAATAACTATTTCAACTCAAGATTTGGAGGATAGGTTTTCAGTACGTGGTAAGATTAATCACAGTCTTTGTCTAACCCACAAAATGTTTGCGTAATTTTTCTCAGACTGGAAAGAATGGCCAAACAGTGCATTTGAAGCCTCTCGAGGGCGCTGTTTCGAGGTTGCTACAAAGTGCATGGAGTAAAGTAAACCAGAAAAGTTTGGACTTGGTAGTCTAAGAAAACAAACGCACCGTTATGAAGTTGTTTTGTAACCCTAACTATACGTTTTATCTATGCTAAAGAAGTTATTCTGATCGATAAGGCTAAGGAAGAATTCCTGCGTTACCTGTGTGTGAAGTACTCTATGGACCCTTACTGCATGCGGGTGAAATACAAAATTCGGACCAAATCTTTACGTATTTCATTGCCCAACGAGGAATGATGGCGATGCGTTTTGTTTTGAGCAGGGTTGACGACCAGCTTGTAGTTAAGATTGCAGACTTCGGCCTGTCTCGTGATTTGGACGAGTCGGACTACTACAGAAGTAGCGACAAGCAGGCGAAGTTACCCGTCAAATGGATGGCGCCAGAGTCTCTCGGTCGTAGGGTTTATAACACCCAAACAGACGTAGTGAGTACACTACATTTACCTCTTCATTATTTACAGCGTTAAAAGTCACGTGCAGATATGTTTTTAAACATAACATAGGGGCCTACAGTGTGTTATGAAGCATTTTGGACAAAGTCCAAGCGACAGTTTTAATTTCCTTCGCCTGTAAACCTTATAAAAACACAACTAACCAGCCAAACAAAGTCCACTGTAGCTAAGTGGTTACATTGAGATGTAAGCGCATTGCACGCAAGAGATTCTGCTTCCAAAATATGGGGTAAATTTGTCAAAGGTTTGAACTCAGTCACTGCGTAGAAACATTAAAGACGTTGTTCATCTCTATTATCTTCATATAAAGGGCGTCGTGTGGGGACGTGACACCTCTCTAATAGTCAGTTTTGTCGCCAAAATCATGATACTGATTGCAAGAATGGAAAAGGTTGTGGTTAAGGAATGGGGCAACGAAAACCTGAGAGTCACAATGGGAGATCAGACTACAATTACAGTTACTACAGTTGCCGACGATCCCTCGGAAAAATTTATGAGCTCCCCAATTTAGCGATGCCTGTGTCTCCCTCCGTAATATGCACTAATGGCTTCATAATATGCTGTCACAAATTTCAGAAAACCAAATGAGCTCGGACCGAAGTCGAAGCCGAAGTCGGTGAATGAATTTTATGCTGCGCTTTGTGTCGAGTGATTATACGGGTGCAACTCGTGGACGTTGACTATAAGGTCCATGGTTGGTTGAGGGTCCCCGCACGATTAGAAACCATGCATGGGAGCCCACACAAAAAGGAGGGCATTAGTAAGTCAAGGTTGAAGGAGTTTTCACACTTGACAGGACAATTTGTTAGATATCGAGTCCGAAAGCCAGAACAAGGTTGAAAATTATATACCTCCAACGATTTTGGCCAACAATTTCACGTCACTTTTTGCAAATACCCTTCAAGCCATGATGGTGCTTGACCGGCCGCATGACAGGCTCTCCACCAATGAGAGCGCGCGCTTTAACTGTCTGAAGTAAAATATGAACCTTTTTTTTTACAGACTTTCATGTTCTGTTTTTATTGAACTCGCGTCTTGTTCATTTACAGTTACTTTTCAAGTGGCGTACTTTCAGTCCATTAATTGCCCTCCTTTTTTGTGTGTTAGGCCTTTACTGGGCTCCAAAACAGTTGTCACTTTTGCTAAGAAATAAGCTTTATACAACCACCCATGAGTGCAATGATGCAACTAAGGTCTAAAAAGAAAAATGAGTAAACCACCCTTTATTGTGAAACTTTACTGAAAGTGTTTACTTATCATTTTTTAACAAACTCATTGCAGTAGTAACTACATATATATACGCACTGAAATACTGTCAATGTCGATTATATTTATTTTCAAAGTGGTCGTACGGTGTGTTGGTGTGGGAGATATTTTCCGGAGGCCGCAAGCCTTATCCCAACGTTGCAAACGCAGATGTCTACGACTTTCTAAGCCAGGGTCACCGGATGAATCCCCCTAAATTCTGCCCAAAGAAAATGTAAGACCTACCTCAACTTTTTCAAAGTCGTCAAACATGTTGTAACGTAACGAAAATGTGCTCAAAGCTGCACGTTGAGGTTAAACTACCTCGGTGCGACCACGAAACTGTAATTCGTACAATTAAGACGTTATGACAGTTTTATAACAGGATTTGATTAACGCAAGAAAATTTACCGAAAACTCTCGAATTTGTCACTCAAGGAAGGGCTCGCTGCCATCTATTTAGAAAACTTTTCACTGGGCGGGTTCTTTATAGGATATTTTTTCTTAATTAATAAATACAGAACGCTGCACTGACTCGAACTGGAGTTTTCAACAAGTCTGTGTGACTATTTTGTCCCACAAAAACCTCTTGCACTTGTGCATTGACAAGTGTTTTATCATACAAGCTTCCAGGGTTTAGGATTGAGCTTATTGATGGACGGCCCGTAGGCTCATGTTAAATCCAGACTCACTACATCGTTTTATCCTTGGGATTCCTTTTGCTCAGATCTGAAATCATGCGGCGGTGCTGGAGGGAGAAACCCAAGACGCGATGTTCCTTCCAACAAATTGTTCGCGAACTGGAGGACCTGGTGGCATGGCTGGGTAGTGGTGGCCCTACAGCTGCGTCTGAACCAAGGCGTCCCCATCAAGAGCCGGTAGAATCAGCAGACATTGTGGGGGAGTCGAGCGTGCCTTGTCTCGCCCCTTGCCCGCCACCTCCCGCCCATGTCAGCCACGCTGACCCTGGTAGTCCGCAGGAACTGGCGCCGCGTCGTGAGACAAACAGTGAAACCCAACGTGGGCCGTCCTACAGCAACTTGAGTCAAGTCCATGCTAACGTTTATCTGGAGACCAAGTTCTAGAACGTTGACTCCTGAAACACTCTTTCTGAAAAGAAAGGCATATAACTGACACTTCCAGGGAAAATAGATGAATATTACTCACATTTTGATCTGAGCAGCTTGTGTGGAAATTGGTATTAGTGGTCTGTTTTTGTGTTATGGATCTCTGCTCTGGTCTCTAAAAAATGGGAAGGTGAAATATCATGAATATTTCATGTGACTGGGTTTAGAATTTAGAGTTGAAGCTATAATTAAGGCTGGTTTACTTGTCAAATCCTACCTTACTAGAGCTGACTCTCACGAACCCGTTCCCAAAGGCTACTGTCACTTCTTCCTCTTTGAAAATTGCAACTGTTAACTTTTAAAATATAATTTCAAATTTATATTTTGGCACCCGGTTCTTTTTTTTCTGTCTGTTCGTATTTGTACACGTAGCAGCGGAATGTTGTTTTTGAGGATGTGTGGAAGCAAACAGGCACGATATTACAGGTATATGGACATAAATGTCGGTAGAAAGGCTCCGAAAAATCCACTAACAAGTTGAAAAAAACAATGATTACCTAATAATTATGACCAGTAATTTCCATTGAGTTATATTCTGGATTTATTACGTACAGGACTCAATTAAATGTAAATGTACATTGAAAATTTTAGAATTTAAGATTAAGATAAAGTATTGTGGTAACTTCTGATGTCGTGCATAGTTAGACGTTGGATTTTATAACATGTTTATTGATGCGTTGTTAACATAGAATTCGAGCTCCAAGTACTAATCTGCGTACTCAATTGTCTTATTTCTAAGTAAAGACCTTCCTTCTTCAACCTAACGTTTGCAAATATAGGAATTTAGTCACACTTGCTTAGGAATGGATGTTGCATTTTGGCGAATCGCGAAACAAGACTTTCTTTGCGGGCTTTGTGTTTGAAGTGTAGAATACGTAATTCAGAGAGAAGTATTATCGTGATACAACTCATGGATAGCGATATTTAAAACGAAGTTTGTATCAAGTCAGTTTTATGAAAAAAAATTAACTTCGGTCCTGTTGCATAATTCTTTTTTGGCAACTAAAATAGAAAGTATGAGAAGATATCACAAGGGAGTCAGATTGGTGTAGTGGTGTAGCTCTTTCACCGCCATTTACCTCTGCGACTGGGGTTCGAGTCCCACCTAGGTTAGCATGTGGTTGGGTTTTCAGTCCCTGCCTGATGCCGTGGCTTTTCCCTGGAATATTTATCCTGGGTTTTCCTCTCACCTCTAAAACTGGACATTTCTTCGTTGTCTTCTTAATTATCACTTTATCCTGTAATTGGCGCTAAATGCGCCGTTTGATGAACATATATATATAAATTAATAACACGTTAGTTGAGAAAAATTGGGCTTTTCTTTACTGAAGATAAGTAGACAAAAAAAATGTGTAATAAAAATAGCCTAATTAGCTTCAATTGCAGTTTATAGATATACGTGTAGTGTGTTACACAGAGACGGAAATTTTCATGTAGTAAAAAAAAATCTCGATCTTTTGACAAGAATACTTAGGATCTATAGCTAGAGCGACTATGTCGCATAGTGCAATTGCACGAAAAGCCTTCCTTACTAGTTTATTGCACTGTAAAATAAAGTCATTATTGAGAAGTTTTTGTCTGTTTAGATTTCAGCGTCGAAATGCCTGTTCTGACATAGTGTAGGTGTAAGACGTTTTAGTGCGGTTTTACAACACACGACCGGCGTTGGTGTGTTAGTGTACACCACGACACCCATGTCTGCACGTACTTCATTACGCACAAACACCTTCGCATAGGCTACTCTGAATCATTGCTAGAAGGTGTTCAACGTGTTAACAACCTAAACTGTACTAGAACCGCCCCGTGAGACGAATATCTCGGGAAACTAGCGTGGTTTACACAGCTTTATGCTCCAAACTTCTTGAGCAGAAATTGCTTGATTTCCCGGCAAGACGTCCTTTCCGCGTCAGAATGGCCCAGATGGCCACCATAAAGCGCCCTCTATCGGTTAATCGCTGTACAGATTCAGACACACCAAGGACCTCTTGCACCAAAACTTGTTCTGTCCACTGAACTGTAAATTGTTTTGTTTAGTGGCTCTGTCCTGGCCCAAATAACTTGGCAGTCCCCTATGGTATCCAACTGATCCAGGAAAAAAAACGTTCGCTTTGACATGAACCGCTGTGCAACAGATGGTCGGTCAACGGCGCTTTGAACTTGTTACATCTTGTAAAGTACTTCAATCACATCTAAATAAACTCTTCCCTCCTGGAAGATAATCAAGAAATTGTTGTCCCAAAGAAATTTCATCGTGGAATTCGACCAAGAACCAAAATGCTCAAAGGAAACTAGAAAAAGTATGACTCCGCAAAAGAAAGTTGTGACAAAAGAAAAGGCAGAATCCAATGTCCCTTTGAAGCCTCAAGCTGAAATAAAAAGTGCATTGACAGCTATTTTTTTCGTGTCTTTGATGTCATAGTGAAAGTCAAATCGAATGTCGTGCGCGGGAGAAAACAAGTCAGCCAGAAAAACTGCTGAACCATGACGAGCTGTACAGCTCGACAGCAGATGCCGACTAGCAGGTATGTACAAGGCCTTGTCGTACTCGTCCTCGCGGCACTGTGCACGTAACACGGTGTTCTTGCCAGTTTAGAGTTATCAACCGAGTTTTCCGAGCGTCGCGTTGGTGCAAGCGAACGTTCAGCCGATTGTTGATCCTCGAGAATTTCACAATCTCAGAATGGTAAAGTACTATGGCATTTAGAAGGGTGTATGTTGTGGAATAATTTGCTATTTGTGGTGACGGAATTAAGTCAGCAGAAGTGTATTTGGGGCGGTTTCCAATCATAAGGACTAATCCATGCGTGAGCATGCAACACTCTGCTTCAAACGTCCACATCCATTTAAAATAAGACAACTTAAGTGCAAGGATGAGCCTTTTTTCTGAGGACGTGATATTTATCCGGAGTTTCTGAGCATAGGGACGACAACTTAATGACAGGCACGAGATGAATGTTGTAGTTATGTGCGTTAGACTTTTCAGGGTAGTCACGATGGCACATCTAAAACTTGATATCAAAGTAGGTGTTATTTCATGGACGAGTAGAAATTCAGAAAGCGCAGAAGACGGACAATATTTTTTCCCAATCGATGATTTATTTGTGCTTTTACATCAACAGGCCGACAATCTTACCGAGCAGCAAGTAGCTGGTAAGTCATTCATTCCTGAATGTATTTTAAATACTCTGAAATACGACACTCGTCAAACAAGACTTTTAAATGATAAAAAAAATCGGGCTAACTTTTGTCAGAACTTACAGCACGACTCATCAATGAAACTGTAATGAAACGTTGAGCAAGCAACGTGACGTCCGGCTGTGATCCCTTTCTTTCTCGGAAAAAGGAATTGTTCTTAAGGGGCTCATTTAGAAAACATTCGAAATTACAAAATAGCAGGGTTATAATTTCTGGTTCAGAACTTTCTCTTTCCCCCTTTCTTTTTCTTGTTTCTTTCTTGTTTCTTTTTTAACTAGAGCTCAAGGCAAAACGTGCCACTGAACTTGAGTGAATTGGCGTCGCGCATAATTAGAAAACATGCATTGTTGTGTTATCAAATACGGCATCCATGTAGTCTGTGTATATTTGGCTCGTAAGCAAACACAAACCCGACTTTGTGAGGTCAAGAGATCCGCTCAAAACCTTCATCTTTTGTTTGTGAGTGGTACAAATTTACTTACGTGGCATAGTCATTGTATTAGCATGCGTTTCATGGGTGGCTAACTCCTTTGAAAATAATCCTGGTACCAATGCCAACAGTGGCAGAGATACAGTAAACAAAGTGGCCGTACTCATAAAATTGTGCAATTTGATATTGTGTTTATTGAGTTCATATCTAAATTTGGTCCTTGTACAGGGCTGGGTATCCACTTTGTGCTTTTCCAGTTTATAAACTGTAAAATGAAGCCTGATATCTTTTTACTGGAATGTAATACAATGCTATGCGACCCTTTTCAAAGTATTGTAGAACGCATTCAATATGCACAAATCATCACATTTCTGCATTGATGTCAACCACCATCACCGTCACCTAATTTTGTTTTATAACTCCTGTTACTTTGTTTTAATTATTTAAAGTTAATTTAATTTTTGCATTTTACTGTACAGCGCTTTGAGATGTCATTGACATGGAAAGCGTTTTTTAAATAATTCATTATTATTATTATTAGATACGCGTAGTAAATATTACTTATATCTTCCAGATATGTACATGTTATAAAACCAGCCAAAGCGTTTGGTTTTGCCATCCACTATTATAAAAGTCGTAGCCAGCCCAACCCTTTGAACAACAGTGTTTTATATTTGAAACTTCGAAGGTTTGGGGAATTGAATAGGATGATGGTGGACAGGTCATTTCTACCTTGTTTGAAAGATAACTAGCAGTCAGATTTGGTATTTAGGATCTTGCCATGGACGTCAAGATGTGGAGAACCGGGGGGGGGGGCACGTGCCCCATACCTTTTCAAAGGGAGGTATCATGTCATTTGTTTTCTCCACTTTTCTGGACCGTCAATCTAAGAAAAAGTTAAGGGAGTGGGCCTCTGTTCGGTTCATATATCTCATATTAAAATCGTTTGAACAAATAAACTAGAAGTTGTAAAAGAAATTGCCTCAGATCGTACCACAAAAGATCTAGAATCCAAAATTACCCAAGCTGTAAGGGCCTCGTGCTCTCATTCAAGCCAAGGTTTCGTTCCCCCCCACCCAAGTTTGAAAATCTATTTACGCCCATGGATCATGCATAAACTGCCAGGGCAGGGCAAAAAATGACCCATTCAGTTTTTAAAGACACACTGTCATAACAAAGATGAACTCGAAATAGGAGGCTTAATGCAGCCTTTTTACTGTTTGCTGATATCGTCACAACGCGAGTTTTCTAGAGTATTCCATTTAAATCTTACAGTCATTCTGACTTCTCTTTGTGTGGGTAGGCAATATCGTTTATTAAATTGTACGGATTTAAATATTCTGCTCCTTTGCATACTCAAACAGAAGATTACAGTTTCTATTCATAATAGATATGAAAACACAACGGCAACTCCTCGCCCATAGATGGTCACATGACATCGACTACTTTAGCTATTTTGTTTTCAAGGTAATCTGAACAATACCTGTACTGTAGCAACCATACCTGTAGCGACGACAGAACTACACGCATGACCCACCAGCACCTGTATAAAATCAAAGAGCTATGTTTATATATAGCTCTATGGTTTAAATACGGTTTGGTGGGCACGTTGCTCGAATAGCGAAGTACATTGTGTACAAGCGCTACAAAGCCGGCGACGACTGAAACTAAAGCAACTAAGGCAAAATTCGCCCTCTATTTTCCATCGCCTAAAATTCACTTATTAAAGGTATCAGGTGAATGAAAACAAGGCATTTTTCAGAAATCGAAAAAGAGACCACGCATGGCGATTTTCTGGTTGTTATAATTGAGTGAACTCTTTAATGTAAAAGTCTAAATACAGACAAAAGAGAAACAAGCATCTACACTTTTTCATTATAGTGCGCCTCCAAGAGTTAGCAACGTGTTGGTCAACCACAATGTGCAAAATCTGTCCACCGAAAGCGTGTTTGGAAAGGGACGACGGATTTCGCACGTTGTGATTGGCTAACGCGTTGCAAACACTTGGAGGGGCACCATTGTGAAAGTTAATGGAAAAAAACCAAATCAGTGGAAAGAGCAGGGATATTGGGAAAGCGTTTTGTTGATGTTGCGGTTCCATTGTCCATTGCGCTCCAAACAGTACCGACTTTACCAATTCCTGAATCTACTTCCAACGACAGAAATCCGAGAGGCATTCAAACGTTTTGACACAAATGGAGACAACACTATCGACTCCAAAGAACTGGCAACGGTCATGAAGTCGCTGGGTCACAACCCTACTGAAGCGCAGCTACAAGCCACAATGCAAGAGGTCGATCTTGACGGTACGTTAAAAAGGGGAAAATATATTGTTTAATTAAAACAACATAAAACAAAACCAAAGCCCACTTTTGTTCAAAAATTTCAATTTCTTCCCGCACAGGTAATGGAAGGATTGAATTCTCGGAGTTTAGGAAGATGATGGCACGACGGATGAGACTGAAGAGTACTGAGCAGAAGATTCGAGACGCATTTAATGTATTTGACAAGAATGGTGACGGATACATCAGGTAGAATGCACCTGCGCTTA